ATAATAATTATTAATTAAATCCATTGTCTATTATTCACTACTCAATTTTAATTATCCAACTATTATTTATCATTACTATTATGGTTAAACTATACATTTAATCTCTTATTTTATTAGGTTTGAAACTTTTAACCCCTTACCTTATCCTAGGAAGTTTTTAATCCTTAAATTTAAAGTTAAAGGTTTTAAGATTTTAGCCCATTAATTAACGAAATCCATTAACTCTCTGTTAAAATAAGAATATAATATTTACAAGATCAATTCTTAAAAATTAAAAATGTAATAATTTAGTTTCAAAAGTTTAAAATTTAAAAAAATTAGTAAATTAAAAGGAATTAACAGATGAATTTTTCATGTATACTAGAACAATATTAGATATCTATAATAAATTGAGTGATTAACTCAATTTAAAAAAAGAATTCTAATTGAGATTAAAGAAAATTTTTTAATTGAATCAAGACAAAAATTCTAAGAGATTAAAAGAATATAGTTAAAAAATTTTCTTTAATATCAGTTAAATTTTTTTTAGATTGAGCTAATTGCTCAACTTTATTTTAAATATCTAATATTTTTCTTATATACATGACAAATATATTTACTAATTATTTTTAATTTATTAATTTTCTTAATTTTTAACCGTTTAAAATTAAATTATTATATTTTTAATTTTTGAAAACGGCCCTATAAATATTTTATTTTTACTTGACAAAGAGTTAAGGGATTTCATTAGTAAAAGGGCTAAAATCTTCTATTCTTTTAAGTTTAAAAATTAAAAATTTTATAGTATAAAATGAGGTACTAAAAAATTTAACTTAAAGAAGGTAAGTAACCAATTGAATACTTTAACCTGCTATTACTACAACTATTACCATCTACTAGTCACTGCTCCCCTGCTCCAACTGGCTAAATCCACCACCATCAAGATTCAAGACTCATCGTTTCATCGAATCATTTATATTCACGATTTTAACCCCAAAAAATAACTATTCTATTTTCAGCCTCCACGTTCTCCCTCCGTTCATCCTTCGCCCACACCCAAATCCCCGATGCTGGTTCAGCTGTAGCCCTTCGACGGTAGTGGCTCCAGTTCTTCCAGAGTCGCACACCCTTCATATCCCTCTCGATACTTCTCCCCTCTGCCATCTCGGATTTCACCGCCACCATCACATTTTCTGGCTATAGATAAGACTTTCAAAGTCATAGTAACCATTTGCCGCTCACCATCGCCGCTAACCATCACAACCGCCGCAGACCTACCTTCTGTCCATAGCCGCACACACTCCTTCCCTCTGCCTTTCATACGCCAGTCCCAAGAGCTGCCACTTCCGATTCTGGGCAGTCCCATCGGGTTTTATCATCTCAGCAACCAGCAGCTGTCCGGAGGGGGCGCCATATTTTTTCGGACAGTTAAAAAGGAGAGGAGACGAATCAGAGCGTAGGAACAGCTAACCTAGAGCCTTAGACACGATAGGGAGGGGCGTTGGAGTACGTGGAATGGTAGATTAGTTAGAAAGAAGAGCACTGGAAAATGAAGAGAAGATTTCAAATGGGTTACCATCGTTAGAACTCGCTGGTGAAGAAATTAGATGAAAAGTGAGCTTTTCTCTGGCACTTCGATTCTCCGTTATTTAAGCATATATATATATATATATATATATATATCTTTTTGTTAATGTCACTCTGATTGTATGTTTGAGTTGTTGGTTAAATGGTTGAAATGCTTTTGATTCAAAATGACTGGAATACAAGTTACCCTCCTGTTCTCTCTCTGTTGATGATGGATTTCAATTTGTGGATGCATTGGGATCTGTTCTTGTGAATGTATATGACATGCTTTAATTTTGTGTTGTTGAGCTTGCCATGTTGCATATCTGAGTTTGCTTCGAGCCTGTTCTGCCTCTTCTCTGGTTTTATGGGTTGAATTTTAATATTTTAATTAAGCTGTTTATGATTAATTGGCATGAAGAATGAATGGGATAGAAATTTGGATTGAATTTGAGTAGGTATCTTTCTTTATTTTATACCTTCATTTTTTTTTTATTTTTTTTT